CTTTCCCAAGAGAACTCCATTATTAAAGCCATAAATAAAACATCCCCGATTTGATGGCTTGGTTGCTTTGCTTGTATGGCTTCATTGTGATGAAGTGGCCCAAAACCTGAGGCTGGCATCCAGGGGAGGCTGGGGAGGTGATTCTGACAGCTTTCTGTCCTCTTTCATCTAGCATGGTGTCCACGCACCACGCCACAGAGCAATGATACTGAAGACTACCAAAGATGGTTACCACAAAACCCAAGGATGAGATGTCCAGCTGCACTCTCCCTTCTTCTGAGCACCCTCTTCCACAAGTAAAAGCAAAGCAGAGTGCTGCTGGGCCTGCTCACCCAATTGCCTCGGGCAGAAAAGGTGAATCTTTTAGTGCTTTCGATGATAACCAACAGCCCCCTGTAGGCATCTGTGCTGTAGGATTGTCATCACTAGCCCAGGCAGTCTGGGCTTGAGTCCCAGCACTGCTACCTAGCAGCCCGGTGACCAAGGTTGGTTAACTCCTAGGTTCACCTTGAAGGAGTGGAGTTAGAGGGATAAATAAATGGTATATGCTGGATGTACATAACCTAGTAAATTCCAATCGCTCCCCAGGAAGACAAGTGCCACTTGCAAAGGTCTATTTGTACGGGACACTCTGGATATTATTTGTCCTCGTGGTAACTTCTGTTGTTGCTGCTCTGACTTACAGATGATAGAAACTAGTCTTGCTAATTGCAGTGGCTTTCTTAAAGTGATGAGTGTATGACCGAGCAGTCAGGTTTTAAATCCCCCTCTGTCCAATTTACAAAGCCAACAAGCCAGGGCTGGGGATTTAGCTGAGTGGCATAAGCATGTGCCTTGCAAGGGCGCAGTTGTGAGTTTGATCCCTGGTATCACTTAAAAAAAAAAAAAGGCCAACGTGTTTTATACTTGATTCTGCTAATTTCTGAGCTCATGAGCATGGGATGAGTCATTATTTTAATTCAAGGTAAATATATCTTAATAGTTTCAGGGTTTAGATAATTTGCTAATGCATTGGAAACTCCAATTTCTGTAGCTGTTTTGCCTTTTATTAGAATGATCCTACATCCCTTTGGAATGAGACAGGAACTATATTCCTCCTTGGTTTGTTCCAAGCCAGCCTGGAGAGCTGCCCATGAACAGCTCCATGGAGATGTCAGCAGGGGTTAGGTACCTCAGTCCCTTCACCCTGGGCAAGAAGACTTTGAATTGTTAGCTTTCAACCATCCTAAACCACTGACACCAGACTGGAATATTCTTTCTCCTCCAATGAAATATGAAGTAATAGCATTGCATCACTATTTGAATGTCACTTTACATACGTTAATTTTGTAACCTGAACAACTATTTCTAAGATGACAATATGTAACTTATCAACTGGTGATTTCTTACTGTTTATTTTTCTGTAATTCTGTATTATTTCTACCCTTTTTTTCACCATGTATTTCTTTTGTTTCTTTCTCTTTCAATAAAAAAAAAGAAATGATAGCATTGCAACCAACAGGCTTAGAATCCTATAAAATAAAAGTATAATACAATTCAACTTTTTTTTTTTTTTTTTTTGTACCAGGGATCAAAATCATGAACTTGAACCTACCAGGCAGTTGGCTTTGTGTTTTTTATTTTGTTTTGTTTTTTGCTTTGTATTTTTGAAACAGAGTCTCACTATATAGTTCAGGCTGGCCTCAAACTCATGGCAATGCTCCTACATCAGTCTCCTGAATGTTAGGATTACAGATGTGTACTACTGCACCACGGCTCTTTCTCAGTTCTAAACCCTGTGCTTCCAGTGCCTGAAGGGCAAGATTTTCGTTTTGTGTGTGGTGGTGGTGTGGTGAAAACATGAGAACAAAATAGCCATAAGGTTTTGGGTGTGTGCTTAGATCCACCAGAAATGTAATTATATGGTAGACCTTTCATGACAGGCTGGGGCCATTTTCAGGGTGCAGGCTCTGGAATCAGAAGAGTTAAAACCCCAGCCTTTCCATGGTCATGTTTTTTATATTCTCAGAGCTCCTGTTTCTTCACCTATAATATGGGGGATTGTAAAACCTTAACAAATAATGTACATAAATAACAAACATATTTATCTCACTCTGAATTCAAAATAGATCTGAGAAATTTGTAGTAATTTGCTTTGAGACAGAGATCTCACTGTGTTTCCTAGATTGGCTTTCCACTCCTGCGCCCAAGCAACCTTCCTGCCTCAGTCTCCTGAGTAGCTAGGACTGTAGGTGCACCCTACCATGCCCAACCGTAACATTTTAGTGATTCCTGCTGTGTGTGTCAGGCTGGGCTTTTCCCATAACTGTCCCTCTACAGGGAAATCAGCGCTTGAATGAACCCAAGTCCTACAGCTCCAGAGTCTGCCCCGTGCCCTGCTTTAGGACATGAGCCATTTATTTGATTGAGATTAAAGGATTTATGCACATTGTTTCTGCAGAAGCAGCTGTGTGTGAGGGTCTGGTGGGAGGGCCTTGGCTGATACAGCTGGAGTTTGGACCAATATGCGGAGAGACCAGCCAACCTAACCCTTTCTTTCTGCCATTCTGCATGAGGAGTACCCCCCGTTTTTTGTGACCTGGTTTAATTTCTCCATTAGGCTGTGCACATAATAGCTATCTTCCAAAATGCTTGCTGAATAAAGGCAGATAATACTGATCACGAATAGTATAGCCATTTCTTATGTACGAGAGAAACATTTGATACTGAGGTTCTGTTCTCTTATTTACACTAATCTGTTAAACAGAATCCTTATACCCTGAGAGAGACTGAACTCAAGGCCTTGCACATGCTAGATAAATGCTCTTATCACTGAGTTACACCTGTAACCCATGGCCTTTTATCCTGAAGTGTGGTCTAAATTTCCCAGGCTGGCTGGCCATGGACTGATGTATGAACCACCTGCTTTGGCCTCGCAAGTAGCTACAATTATAGGTTTGCACCACTCGGCCTAGCTAAAGACTTTTTCTGATACTGGGAGTTGATCTCAGAGCCTTAGCACTGAGGTATATTTTTAGCCCTTTTCTAACTGTTCAACATAGTCCTGCTGAATTGTATAGGTTGGGCCTGAACTTTGATCTTTGTGCCTCAGCCTCCCAGAGTGCTGAGATTACACACACATGCCAAGATTGACCAGCTTAAACATATTTGTTTTTAATATTTTCTGACAGGGTGTTGCTATACAGTTCAGGCTGCCCTTGAGCTCATTTTATAGTCCCGGCTGGTCTCAAACTTGCAGTGATCCTCCCGCTTCAACCCCCCGAGTGCTGGGATTACAGGCATGCAGCAAAAAGCCTAGTTTTAAACAGATTTTTAAAAGCTATTAATTTTCCACTAACTTAATGTCCCTCAAGCATTTATTTATCACCTAATATTAATGTAAGTACCAAGGATACCTATGGAGTGAGAGTGGTGGGGAGGAGGTACTTGGAATTGAACTCAGAACCTTGAACTTGCCAGGCTGTGCCACTGAACTATACCCTGGCCCGAGACAGAATATTAAGAAACAACAAATCCAAGCTTACATTCAGCTATGGAACACACTGTATCTTTTTCAAGTAGCACTGACCTCCCCAGCTGTTTTATGTTAAGTTTCTAATCTGCATTCCCTCAAGCCTTACTTATTGTTAAGCAGTCAAGATAGACTAGGAGAGCCTCTTGTGAAGGCACAGAAGAACTCACAAGGCTGGAGAAGAGAGGCTAACACTTAGAACATGGTATCAGGGAAAGAACCAGGCAGAGAAGTCAGATCAGGCTACCATTCCATTACCATTCTATCACTAATAATGAAGGCTTACAAACCTCAATTTCATCAACTATAAAACGATAATCGGTATTTGTCATTGCTTTCCCACAGGACAGCAAGGGCTCCTAGGATGACGTGGGAGCACCTTACTGGGGGGTCGCTGCTCGAGGCCATGGGGCAAAGCTCTAACACCGGAGGGCCTGGTGAACATTTGTGTCCCCTCCTTTTCTCCCAGCCCGATCTCCTAGACAGCCACAGCCACCCTGGGGAAGATCGAGGGCCTGTGGATTGCTGGCTTGAGACTGGTTGTCTCCTGCACATGTTATTTTTTCTCTTGTCACTGTCTGCAGAACGCAAACAAGAATGAAATGATAACAGGCATGTCCTCTGAAGCAAAACAGGTCACAGGAAGAAGATAATACACTCAATGACAAACAAAAGTCAACTGCAGCTGGGCCCAGAGAGGGTAGGCAGAAGGGTGTGGGAACTAAGGAAGGTGTTTCCTTGTTTACAAATAGGTTTATGAAATATTATCACCATCGTGAATATGTATACACACACACTTGGTGTTTTAACATCTTTCTGTGGACATTTAGGCTTCCATGTGCAAGGGAGACCTCGGTAAGACATGGACTCATACCCTCGAGTGTTTAGTCTTCATAAACAAAGGCACAGAACACACAACTGTACTTACAGTGATTAGATACTCAAGACTGGAAGGCTACTGTGAGAACAAAAGCAGCTGACCTATTAGGATGACAGAACTGCCTCACCCATGCCTGAAATCTAATATTTGTTTAATAAATATTTGGTGAATGAGAAGACTTGATCTTTATTTTCCAAATATTATAACCGTGAATATTTATCCCTTCATTAGCTAACCATTCAGAGATGATTCCACTCCCCCTTGACATAATTTTGGTGCTCCACTTTCCCCCCTGCTTTTACTTAATGCAATTCAAAGAAAATGAGGCTGTCAAAAAACTTAACATAGTCTGTGGATACTGGTTAAAGGTCATGCATGCGTGCATTTTAGATAGCAAAAGCCTGGAGAATTTGCTGATAAGCAGGAGACCTGCCCTGCATTCATTAATTGGCTGATTGTCCTTAGGAAAATAACCTTTTAGGATCTCAGTGGATAGATATGTAACAGGGTTAGACAGAGGACCTCCTTGTGGGCCTTTCCGTACTTGAAATGCTAAATGTCAAAATTAAACACACTGGGTCAATGAAGACAAATGAGCTCTCCACAGGGTTAATATTTGAAAACTTTATTTTCTCAAATGAGCACCAACACAGATTGGAAAATGACAGAAACAATGCATTTTTCTCTACAGTAATACTGAATCACTATGTACAAATACAGGAAAAGGTGAAGACAAATTATTCAAAAACAATTATCTTTGTTATTGAAGCAAAGTGACCTGAAAAAATGCCATCAAAGAAAACAAAAACAAACAAACAAACCCAAACCCAACAAATACAGTTTGTAAACACAAGCATAAGTAGACAGATTCTGCATTATAAGACAGTCTCTGTAGGTTGGGGAAAATCAACTCCCACTTTCTCCAAAATGTTACATAAAACATGGGCAAAGAGAACTGGGTAACAAGAGAACAGCTTGTTTCCTCTTGGCTTTCTCTTTTACTGACAGTAGGTTTCATGACTGCGTTTTAACTTTCAAAAATCAATCATTTATTTTTTCTACCTACAGGATTAGCATTTATTTTTGGTAGGTTCTTTTTAAATGCATAAGTTGATTGTTTTCAAGATTTGATTTCCCAGCTTCTTTCTGAACCTGAAGCAATCTAACCTTAAAAAAAAAAAAAAAAAAAAAAAAAGCTGTTTACCTACAAGGTAGGCACATTATGTTATTAATGCTCTTTTAACCCAAACCAGTTGATGTTCAACATCATTGGCTTCTAAAACAATTGGAGCCCTGGGATCCGAGATTAATACACTCCCATCTCAGTCAGAAGCACAGATTTGACTCTGCTTGATCTTCACAAACAGATTTCCTTTACAGTCTATAAAAGTTGAGCACATAAAGAAAGAAAAATTTTGGAATCAACTGGCAACAGCTCCATGCTCAGGAAAACAAAAGCCTCTGGCTTGTGCTGTTGGTCCACTCAGAAACAAAAACAACCCAAGAGAAAGAAGAAAAACTTTATGCGCCCGACGTGTAAACTGTAGGTATAGTGTCCCCAGTAGAAAATAAAGCAGGAGGCACAGTCCAAAGTGCTTTCACTCATACACACCCATGCACGCGTGCACACACACGCATACACTCAAGACACACACTTAAAAATGAGATTCCAATTTGCTGGAACTTCTTCCAACAAGAGCAATTGCCCCAAGTCATTATCTTTAAATTTACTTGGTTTTGTTTACTTTCTTTTCTAGCCATTACTACTGCAAGAAAATATTTCAGTTTTTAACTGGTAATTTATTGCAGTGTCTGTTCCATTGAGGGAAAAATGCAGACAGGCATTGCTTTAAAGCCTTGATTCATAATAAAGTGATAGAGGTCTTTAAAAAACAAAAGTATATTGGTGATTACTGTTTCCCTTAAAATACACTTCAAGAAATGCAGAGGAAATCATAGGATTTAAAATGAAAATAAAAAGTGCTCTAAAACAAAAAGTGCTCTCAGGGGATCTGAGAAAACAGCACCAAATATATTATTTAAAAAATTAAATATTATTTACAAAAGTATATTTCACAAGCAACTGTTATATATATATATAGATATAGATATTTCTCTACTTGAAAATCTTATTATAAAGGGGACACTTCTTTATACCACACACACTGATCCGCCCCTGAAGACGCACTGTGTCCTACCCACATGATCATAAGGTCAGGCCAGCTGAGAACTTGTGGGCATCAAGTTTGGCTGTGCTTGATTCACATCAAATCAACCCCTCAGCAGCCTGTGACTACATCCTGGGGGCTGGGTGTACCCCAGGTAGCCAAGGCCGTGTGACCTCAGGAGACGGAACTCAAGGCTGCCAGCTGGCCTTCAGCTCAAGGCACAGGCTCACTGTGGCTGAGGCGTGGAGCTTCTTGCCTCTCCCTCTCACTTCTCCCTCCCCTCGCTGCTCCCCAGCCCCTGCCCTAGTAGAACCAACAGACTCTGACTCCCTGAACCCACATGGGGTGAACGGATGAGGTCTTTGGTTATGCTCTGAGTCAAAATTTGGTGAGGAAATGAAAAGGAATAAACCGACTGAGGCCATGCGTTGATGTGTCTCCACTGCTCAGCTGGCGGCCTCTCAATACTGCTGACCGTTAGAATGATAAGCTGTAAGTGGAGTTAACGTAAAGGTATAAGAAGCACTTTTGGTTTCACTGACACAAAGGGAAGCCTAATGAGTTTTCTTTTTTTCTTGTAGCTCTCGAAAACCAATACTTACTCTCTTGCATCAAGTCTGGTGCCGTGCACCCACTAGATATTCAATGGCTAGTAACCAGCCACCAGAATCAGGGTCTGACAGGAGCCTGCTGTGATCCAGGGCCCATCCCTAAGGAAGAACAGTGTGGCACAATGGTCTGTCTCTGCCCTCTGACAATCCAGGGCACCTGTGTCCAGCTTCACTACGTTCCAACTGCAGTTTTAAGACAAAACATCTACCTGGATTGCACCCCTCACCGATGGTTCTTTGTTTCTTTTTTTTAATTTTAATGAAATGGACTCTTAATAGCTAGGATATTCTCTAGGCAAAGGATCAAATCAAATCCATAAATGAAGGCCATTTCCTTTAAAAGGACAGAGAGGGGAAATCCATGATTTCTGCACTGGCAAGCCAGCTTAGGAATGTCAAAGTTGAAAATGTTAAGAGAACTTGGGCCTGGGAGCCAGGGGACAATTTCTTTGGGAGCAGAGATAAAACACTTCTGAACCTTCCAAGTTTGTCTTGCAAGAAAGTAGGGAGAACAACATAATCACCGCGGCTACAAAAGCTCTGGAAACGGCTGGACAAGGAGCCTTGGGGAACACAGGTAACTTCTAGGAGCTTTCTTTTTGTGGAGAGGCAGTCCACTGCTAGACACAGGCCACCCTGCTTCCTGTCATCCTGTCGTCTGCTGCCCAAAGGGCAGGACCATGTTGATGCTCCATCTCCCCTTCTGCAGTTAGCCCATGGACACAAAGAGGCACTTCCATCAGACTCACTCCCTATGGGAATTCAGGTTTACTCCAGATGTAATTTTAAAAACATCCTGGGTTGGCCGCTTTAATTTTGGTGAATCAATTTTACAGAATCTTTTTGTTTTGGTACCAGGGATCGAATCCATAACCTTGTGCTTGCCAGGCAGGCACTTAGACCGCTGAGCTAAATCCCTAGTAATTTTACAGATTCTTATGAATTCTTTTTTTTTTTTTTTAAAAGACCTTGAAAGCTACATTTTCCTATAGGATCAGCCTACTTGCAGAATGAGATTCTAAGAATTACCTAATACATACGTATCTTAAAGTTTTCAGCTTACAAAATGAAATTAACTCAGTGAAAAGTTTCAGTCATGCACAGTATACTGGCTGAACTGCCAATGAACAGACTTCACAGTGTTGAATGTTGAATGTTACACATTTGTAACAAACTTTTCTTTCTCAAGTCTTACAGGGATTTGTTCTTCACTTCCCTAACACAATGAAGTTTGGATGGGAGGGTGGGGGCAGAGGATAATATTGGAATCTGTAACCCCTCCCTACTGCTGGACCACATTGACAGAGCTCTCACCACATAAGACATTCAGCTCCAAAAAGAACTCAGGGCACGAAGAACCCACCAACCAGGTTATCACTAGGCTGCAAGCCTTAGATCTGTGTTTTCCATGGTCTACAATGGCTGAACTGGACAAACAGCTGAAACACTATGAACAAAGGATTGCTGATCCCACGATAAGCAAAGAGGAAGTATGCACTAATCTGATCTATTCCTCCCATGGTCCCTCCCAACCCTCCCCCTGCCATGTTACTCTTATTGAGGGTCAGGAAAAGAAAGGCAGACAGTCAGAATTACTAACTGGCTCTATGTTTTGTTTTACTGGCTCAATATCTGAGCCACTCTTCAGGACCTCTCAAGCTGCAACATCTCCTTGTACCCTGCTCTCCTCAATTTCTGATTTGGTTGATGGTCAAAGCCTTTGGGATATTCTATCTTTCACTCATTGAAAATGACAGTCCCCTCTCCCACTGCCTTCAGGGACTAAGGAGGCAAACACAATGATTAGCGGGAGGCTGTGTGAGGCATCAGTCATCCAAATCCATCTTGGTTCACCCACCGTACTCCCTGCTACCTGGACTTTCCCCAACTCTGCTGGAGCAAACCAGGCCCGTTGCCCCATCAGCTAGAATCAGAGCCTCTCTGTGCTCCTCTGTGATCCTGGCACATTCAGTGGCAGGAAGCGAGGCCTCTGATCAGAGAGAATGCAGTCATGAGGTATTTTTTTTCCTCCTCTTTGTCTATTTAGACTAGTCGAACATTTCAAGCCAAAGTTCCCGGGTGTTTCCAGAGCGGCGCACTTCTGTCCCTTTCTCCATCCTCCCGCCCCCTGCCCACCCCCAGTACCTCAGGGTTCCCCTTTTCCCTCTCCTCACACCCATGTGCCGCTGCTCTCCTGACAAGAGGCCCTCAGGCAGCTCCTGCAAGGCTCTGGGAGCCCCTGCAAGGTGGGCTGCTGCCGTGCGGTCAAGGATCTGTTCCTTCAGTTGTTTTGTTTTCAGCAAACACTAGAACAGACAGAAGCCAGGAGCGACTCACAGACAGATACAAAGCAAAGAGACAGAGAGACAGCAATTTTGAGGCCAGTCACCAGAAGGATGGTGTTGGGGTGGGAGGACGCCCCAGATGGCAAAGCCCCCAAATGGATGGAACCAAGTGTTCAGTCACTCTCACGCGGGGGTAGGATGTTCGGTTGGATGGCATTCACGTGGACACTGGGTTAGGAGGTGCTGTCTGCTCAGTCCCAGCCATTGTCCTTGATCATGTGTGCTAGTTCAATGATGTACTTGCCTTCTTTATATTTCTGGCTGCTTTCAAAAGCATGTTCCTAGAAACAGAAAAGAGACTGAGTGACCAGAGACAAAAAGGTGACTTTTGTGCCACAGAAACTAAAGTGTCACTGATGGTGGGCATCAGATCTGAGGTTCGGTCCGGGCATCAGCCGGACCCACAAGGGAATTCCTACCACCCAGGCACTCCGCGTCCCAGCTCATCCTGGCAGACAGCATCGACACCGCAGCAGAACTGCTTCAGGACCTCTGCTGGAATGTCATCATTCCAGGAAGGTCTGTCCCAACTACTGTACTTAAAACCCCAACTTTCACCAGCATCTCTTTTCCTTCCGTTGCCCAGCACATAATTTGTGTTACTATTTTACTGTCTTCTGTGACTATCACATGTGAGGAATGATCAAAACACACAGTGGAATGTTTAAGTTTTAAAAACATGTCACAGTAAAAACCGCATCCCGTTACTGCCGTCTGCTTCAACCACACCAACCCCATTGTTCTGGCCACTTTCTGAAGCATTTCTAGAAATCCTTTCGGGGTGTCTTTATGAGGCACAATAAAAAACACAGTGAATGCTGCTGCTGAGTGCCATCCAATGGAAAGGCAGGCTCCCAAAATTTTATAGTGTGTCTGTGTCCACCAGATCTGCATGGTGTGACTTCTGGGTCTTTCTCAAAGTCAAAATGACCACGAAAGTTTAATGTTTTGAATCTATTCAGGACATTGAGGCAGCCTGCACAACTAGAGACATTTATGGAAAGGGCTTCTAGAACTGCTTCAGAAAGTGGGAAGAAGGATGGGATAAGTGCATTAAACAGCAGGTGGAATATTTGGAGGGAAATTAATGGCAATGTGTTTTCTCACGCACGCGCATGTGTGTGCACACGTGTGTGTGTGTGTGTGTGTGTGTGTGTGTGTGTGTGTGTGTGTGTATCCCCCTCCCAACATGGTCTCCCTGTGCAGTTCAGACTGGCCTTGGACTCAAGGCAGTTCTCCTGTGCCTCCCAAGTGCTGATTACAGCTGTGAGTCACCACCCCTGGCTTCTAATTTCTTTTTTAAAAATTTAAACATCTGTTGTATTTTTTTATACACTTCATAGAAAAGAGAGATTTTAGCTTTGTTCTTTGTTTTATCTCTAGAAGACTGCTGGGCACAAAACAGATTTTCAACAAATCACTGCCAAATGAATGAGTAGACATTTAGGAGCAGACAATCACAGGGAGCCTTGAATTCTGATGCTAACTGGCTATCTGCCTTGTGGCTATATCCTCAGATTTCCTGTGTCTTTCTTACTAGTTTCTAGGAACACAGGAAAATCTGGTTATAATTTTAAGCTGCACTTGTTAGGCTTAGAGAAAAAAACAGTAAGAGGAACCAAGAATTACAAGGCCAAGCAGGTCCCTATTTTATTTCCTTGTTTTTGCTGTTTCTATGTCAGATGGCTCAAGTACATTTTAAATTTTCTTTAATTATTCTTCTTCCCTCTTTTTTGCTTTTTTTCCTCCCCTTACTACCTTTTTCCAGTAGAGGCTGTAGACTGGAGAACCTGGAAGCCATCAACTGCCAGGCCTGCAGAGGGAAAACTCGATTCAAATAGCTGGTGAGTTCCTTTCCAACGTAAAGCACTGTGAGCTCCCCCAGTTCATAAATTCAGGGAAAGCAGTCCAGCACAGAGGTAGGATCAGGGCTATTTTGTTTTCAGAAACAGACATCAAGAACATTCTGGTAGATTATCTGAGAACACTGGGCCTTGGAGTCATTATATGGCTAAATGAAGTACAGAAAAGTGCTGGACATTAGCTCTGCCCACTGAGTCCCCAAGTGAGTAAGGAACTAAACCCCAAGGTTGGTAGCTTCTGGGGTCATCTGTAGGAGCCACATCTTTTGTTCTAGAGCCCCAGGATTTCTAAGTTTTGAACAAGAGCTTAGACTTGGATTTTTTGTGGAGAAAGAGAATCAACACACAATGTGGAGAAGGAAGAAGGGGAAGGGAAAGGGAAGAGGGGGAGAGGTGGAACAGGACAGGACCAAGGATAAGCACATGAACACACTCACACAGGACCTGTGGGCTCAGCAATTTTCTGACACTTTGTATATGTATATGTGTGTGTGTGTGTGTGTGTGTGTGTGTGTGTGTGTCTATGCACACATGCATGCAAACACAACACAGAAATGTGGTTTGGAAATGGGATCTAGTGTTACATAATAATGCTTTCAGGGTAGGAGGGGATGACAAAGCAATATTCAGAGAGTGAGTGTTTTCCTGTTAAGTGAAAGAAAAAAGAAAATCCGACTGCCCTGAGCCACACTGGCACTGGACCCCAGTAGGAAGAGCACTGCACCTGGGGTCTACAGAAGCACTCCGTGGATCTCATTTCTGTTGATTCATTTAACTGCCTGATTTCCCACTTTATGACACCATTGCGATATTCAACGATTATTTTGAAGTTCACAGTATTTTATCTGTTTCATAGGATTATTCTGATGGTCAGAAGAAATAACAAAATGAAAGAACAGCACAGTGCATCTGGCACACAGCGCAGTAACTATCTGGGGAGCTTTAAATATTCTGGGAGCTGGTGTTTCTCTTGTCTGATGCACACCACCTGACCTGCCAAACTATGCCGTCTGCATGTGGCTTCCTTTTCTCTCTGGCATCATGACTGTAAATGCCTTCAGAGCACAGACCAGAGCCCATTCCCTCATTTCTTTTCTTTTAGGGTGCAGGGCACTGACCCCAAGGGCCCTGCGCATATTACACAAGCACTCATTCTTTTTTTTTTTTTTTTTTTTTGGTCTTTTTGAGACAGGGTCTTGTTATGCAGTTCAGACTGTTCTTGTGTTCACTTTGTAGCCCAGGATGATCTTGAACTTGCAATAACCCTCCTACCTTAGCCTCTTGAGTGCTGGGATTACAGGTGTGTATTACTTGCTCGGTTACTCACTCACTTTTGTATCCGGTCGAAGTTTTTCAATAAAACTTTATCAAATGAGTGACTCATTTTACTGGAACCTCAAGCCAAGAGCAAAACCAAGCAAGTTGGGTTTATCTTTTGTTACTGTAATCCAATACAGCCTTGATGAAGAAGACAGCCAAGAGACTGGGGAACACAGGAGGGAGCAGAAGACTTCCTGATAATCAAAAGTGGAACTGTGCACCCCACCAGCCATCAGTCAGGGTAGCCTGTAACTGCACCCAGGAATGCATGCAAAGTTCAATGTCTCCCACAGAACAACCAAGCAAAGCACAGGGAGCAGTGGCTTTGCCATCTTTCATTAAGAAACACACCACCCATCTTAGATCTTTTCTTCCTAGTGCTCGACATTTTCGTGGAAATGTGAGAAATAGAATCAAGGCGGCACCGACAAGCACCACCATGGCCTCCCCCTGGAGTAGTTTTCATTTTTATAATGATGTGCACATTTTAAAACTTGATTTATATATACGGAATCATATTTCTGTGTTTGGGACCTATAGCTCCTGCTATTGTATATATCCCCCAATAAACTTTATTTTTTCTGAGCCATCATGGACCCACAGCAAACCTGAGCAGAAACTACCAACATTTCTGGTATATCCCGACCAAACCTGCACTTTAAGAATCTCACACCAACATGGTTCCTTAGTGACAGCCATAGAGACTACACTGACACCCCTGTACCACCCCAGCAATTCTGACTGTTCCCTGGGGGACCTTCCTAAGCCAAGGACAGGTGTGCATCCCAAGACAAGATAGGAAATTTGAAACATTTTACATAAAATACATTGCCCTTCCAGAGAACAAAACATGAGTTCACAACGACAGTATGAAGAACACTAGTAGTGTACCACGTATGGGGGTTATACACAGAGGCTGCAAAAGTTCTGCCAGTGATACCCAAACAATCTATGCTTATTTTCTTTGAATGTATATGCTATGCCAAGTGATGGAACTAAGCATTTTACAGTATTTAACACTCAAAAAAACTTAAGTACTGGGAAACTGACTATAAATAGGAGCCCAAAGATAGGTAGGCAAGTAAGTGATGAAGTCCAAATTTCATCCTGACTTTAGCTGCATAGATGGTACCAAGCTTCAAATCAGGGAGAATGTGGTGGCGCATGCCTGTGGCCCCAGCACCTGACAGGCTAAAGCACAAGGATTACTATGGGTTCAAGGCCAGCTTGGCCTGCACAGTAAGTTCAAGACCAGCCTGAACTGCATAGCAAGGCCTGTCGCAAAAATAAATAAACCTCTAGTCAGATGGACTGTGAAGGCTTTGTCTGTGGTTGTGTGGTGACCTTAAGGTATGCCAGAATGCTCAGTCCCCAGTGTGGTGTTTTGTTTTGTTTTTTGTCTTTTTTGCGGGGAGGGGACTGTTACTGGGAATTGAACTCAGGACCGCATGCTTGCCAAGCAGGCACTGTGCCACTGAGCTGTATCCCCAGCCCAGTTTTTTTTTGTCTTTTTTAAATTTTTTAGTCTTTTTCTTTTTTATCGGTACCGGGGATCAAACTCATGACCACACATTTGCAAGGCAGGCGCTTATGCCGCTGAGCTAAATCCCCAGCCCCTAGTTTTTTTGTCTTTTTTGAGATAGAGTTTTCCTATGCAGTTCAGCTAGGCCTCAAATTCACAGCAATCTTTGTGTTTTTGAGGCAGGATCTTACAGTGTACTTTTGGGTAGTCTTGAACTCACTATGTAGCTCACTCAGCCTGCCTCCAGCTCTCAGTGATCCTCCTGCTTCAGCCTCTCAAATGCTAGAGTCACAAGTGTATACTGCCATACCCAGCCAGTCCCCACTGTTTTGAAAATAGCAGATCCCTGCCTTTTCCTTTTCTTACCCTGGCAAAGGGCTGCTCAGTCTTCCTAGATCCTAAGGGAACCTCAACATTTTTTACATTTTTAAACAATGAAAGAAAGATGATCCATTTGGGAAAGTCCAGCCACAACCATACCTCCCGGTGTACATTAAAAGAATGTCTGATGATGCCTACAACATGGCCTAGAACTCAGGTAGTTTTCAAGCAATATTTACTGGAGCATGACAGTCAGACTGCTACCCTGAGTGCTATCCTGCTTTGGCCCACTCATAGCTAGGTAACCTTGAGCATACTATTAACCTTCTTCTGCCTCAGTATCCTCAACCAGAAATAGGGATGAAAATAGCACCTGATCTCTAGGGATGCTGTGAAGAGTGAGTATGATCATGTATGTCTAGCACACGAAGATTTCAGAAATGTTCTATGCTCTTACTATCAGGGGCCTAGGATGGTGTGTGTCTGCGTGTGCACTTACATGTTAGGGACCAGCATAAAAGAGTGTGGGGGACAGGCAGAGAAAAGGGAAGAATGTGTCTGGCAGACAGATGGCTTAGGCAGGTAGTGTCCTTTGAGCCTGGTTTCCTAACCTGATCAAGACAACCCAACAAGGCCATAGGAGGCCAGCAGCAGAAAGTCTTCTGCGAGCATGGAACCCTTCATTCTTCCCTCCACAGCCTTCTCCCACCAGATTCCTCGGTACTTACATATTTCCATCCCAGAGTGGTTTTGCAGTTTTCACAGTAAATGTCTGCAACTGCATGCAGTCCTGTTAGCAATACTCGCTCTTCTGCAGGCCCACAGCCCACATTAACTCTATGCCAAAAAAAAGAGACAGAGGGAAGTTAGTCACGTGTACCTACATCATTAGCTGTTCAGAATGAGTAGGTGGCAAAAACTAAGGCTGGATAAGGCTGCCCTAAGAGAAGCCAACACTGAAAGGAAGAATCTGGTGAAAACTGAAATCAATACTATCTCCAGAGAGGTACCCATCTGGAAACATCTCAGTTGGAATGAATTTCAGATCTGCAAGGCTGAATTCTAGGGGTCTGCTAAAATAGTCCTCTTTGAGACTTTGCTCAGGATTTTTCTAACAAATATGTCACAAATCTTGTGACATAAGGGGACAAAATGACAGCTACTCTGTACAGTCCATAGTCCAAAAGACCACCATCCTCAAAGCTCACTGAGGACTGAATGAAGCCAAAGATGGCACACATGGTAGCATAGTCTTGTCATCACAAGGATGGGTGAGCCCTGGATATTAAATATGCTGTTCTCCTTTACACAGCACCTATTCCAAGGTGAATGGGCCAGGTTTCCACTCTTACAGTCTGCCAGGCTTATATGAGCTTTGCCTTTCTTTCTCAGAAGGTGGTTATAAATCAGGGGCCCAGTGATGACTGTGCAGGCTGTGCACACCATGGGATTGTGGTGGGGACAGAGGTTCTGCCTGCCCTTCATCCTTAGGTTATTCAGTGGTTCGTAGGGAGGATCTTTTGTTCCCCCTCACCCTCTTGCCCAGTGACAAATCTCTGATCTGGTTCTGGGACGTCCTCAGAAGCTCCTTCACTGTGGGACTTCTGCCCTCCAATGTGCCTACTGCGGACAGTACAGTGAATATACTGTTTTTGGCCAGAGATTTGCCAAAGGGAAAAAAAAAGTTCCCCAAAGGTAACTGACTACCGATTGTAGATACTATTTTTATCATGGCAGAGAAGGAAGGGTTCGTTCCTGAATGACTGAGAACTGCTTTTTCCCATCCCTCTAAATTTGTATGAAACAACAGATACATTAAGTCAGACACTCACACTGAATTAAAGAGATATGCTCGTCCTTGACTTCCTTGGAATGACTGAAATGCAAGAAAACAAATCGATAGTTAGGTATCAATTTTGTCTGCCTATATAGGAAACCAACCCCAATCATAGCAAGCATGACCTTCCAGGACCGCAGAGCAGAACAGAGCACTAAGCCAGCTAACAGTCTAGCTGGCAGATGGCCTGGGGGGAGGAGAAGGCAGAATAGAAAGACACAGAGCTCAAACCAGCCCACACTTGGACTATTTTCACCAGCTCAGGTGAGAAAACAGGAGGGAAAAACCCCCAGCACATTCTGCTGTGTCATTAAAAACTTCCCTCCTGACACTGCCTGACAGAATTAATCCACCTGAGATAATTAATCCACATTGGCCTTTCTGGTCCCACTTGATTCCAACCATTTGTGCTGGTAACCACATTCCCACACCAAGTGGGGCATGGGAAACCAGGATGAGCCCAGACCTACTGAAGACAGCAAAGAATCCCCAGCATAAAGAGAAACTGTGATAGCCAAGCATGCTTGTCATTCCTCTTGGCTTCTGGGAGGTCCTCACTGCCATGACAGCTGTGATCTCCCCAAGCGGGATGAGGGGAGCTCCCCTCCTGAAATGTAAGCAACTTGATCTCAAAATTACAGAAATGCTCACTAGGCAGAAATCCCATTTTTACTTCCAGCCTAAATGCAAGCATTTTTCTTCCAGTGGGAGAGCAACAGGGAGCAGGGCAAACAGGAGCCTGAGCTTGCCATGCAATCTGGCATCCACTTCCAGTAGCACAAGCCCTGTCTATGTTTCCCTCCTCTGGTTACACCGAGATGTCTGGCTGACATGAGCCAGCCGTGTTCTGCACTGCTGCCTGCATTTTTAATGTAGAATAGCAATTGTATCCTGAATTTAACATCCCACTCTGCTCTGCAAACCATTCTAAACACAATACAGGAGCGATTCTTAAGAAATGTGGGGTGACTGGCTAGCAGATGATTAAAGGGCAAGGGCTCAAACCAGGGCATCAGAAGTGCAAGAGCGCAGGGACTGATGGCACCTGCCAGGGAAAGGCAAACTCCTTTACCTGTGGAAAAACTGCCTCAGGAGCAGGTGAACTATTGACTGTCTCCAATATTTGCCTCAGTCCCAGGTGCAACCCAGGGAGCTGATGTTCCCCAGCAGCTGCCCAGGCCTAAACCAACTGTCTCTCTTATGGGTTGTGAAACAGTGCTGAAGAAACACAGGACCTCACACGTACAACAGAGCCGCTCTGGGTGTCACAGCTTCACATGCAGGTCCACTGTACCAAGAGTTCCCCGGTGACACAGACCTACATTTGGAGGCACTGTTTGTTCAACCTTGGGACACAGAGGCACCCCGGCCGGGACTTTGCAGGCAGCCAAAGGATGAAGATCTGGCTCTGCCAACTCACCAGGCTCTTTGCTTCCTGCTTCCCCATATGTCTTTTGCTGTTAGTCAAGACAAACTATGTGTGGTGGTTGCATGTGCCCAATTTTGTGCACACTATTCCCTCTGGTGCAGAGGCTCCTCCCTCCACGTGACTGGCTCTAAGCCTTATTTCTGCTCCTCTATTTCACAAGGCCCTCCCTGACCTCCTCAGCAGAGGTGCCACCGACGCCCACACGCTGGACTCTTCCTGTCCCTGTGTTTCCCTTTCTCTTAGCACTTGGTGTCCTGCATTGCAGTTATTGATTCACCTCCCTCTTCCCAGGCTGTGGGCTCCCTGAAGGCAGGGACTGTATCTTCCATCTCTCTCTGAAGCCCCAGTATACAGCATGTGAACTAAGTGCACACAGTATGAGTTAAATATTTATTCCACAAGTGAATAGCCTGTCTCTATTTAAACAACTTGATTGAGGTATAATTGACACGTAATAAACTGTATACATCTAGGATGTCCTGCTGGATCAGTTCTGACAGCTGTTTGGACCTATGAACAAATCGCTGCCACCAAGATGGACTGGCCACCACACCCACTCCACTTCCTCAAGACTCCGAACCCAGACTTGCCTCCCCTCCGTGTCCCCTCCCCAGTTGTGGTTCCATAAGCAACCACTGCTCTCTGTCATCCACTTTTATATTCTAGAATTTTTTTTATAATGAAATCATACAGCATGTAATGCTTTGTGTCTAGCTTCTTTCACTCAGCATAATTCTTTGATGACTTATCTTGTTGTCGTATAAATCAGTAGTTCAACCCCTTTTGGTTGCAGAGTAAGATCCCACCCTAAGGATATATCATAGTTTATTTTTAGTTCGACTTTAATAAGGGACTAGTTGTCTGCACAGGCAGTCCCCTTCTTGCTCTCATGATTCCATGGTCCTAATGATGTGTAATCAGGTGTGTCACCCTTCAAGAAACATTTACCAAAAGCTTCAAGCTCAGATATGGAAGAAGGTGGCCATGTGAAAACAAACCCTAGGAAAAAAAGCAAGAAAATAATATGAAGAAAAACAGCGTTCATCACCATATATGACAGGGAAAGGGCTTGACAAATGAATTTGTTTTTTTGATTTTTGTTTTGAGACAGTGTCTTTCTTTGTAATCTAGGGTCCTCGAACTCACCACGTCGCCCAGCCTGACCTCGGTACTTGTAGCAATCCTCATGCCTCAGCTTCCCACCAGATTCACTTCTTTCCTAAACACCCACTGATCATCTGCTATCTGTTAGACTTGACTAGGAATGTGCGGAGAGGCAACACTATGAGACCTTCCAGGGCAGCGGTATCCCCAGAAGGTTTGCAAGAAAATCCTCCAAGGTAGAGAGAAAATCCTAGAAAGTCTATCCATTTTCATCTGAAAACATAAGTTTCTCTGAGCAGTTATAACACGCGACTCGCTCCTGGACTAGTAGACGTCACGCATGGGCCGGGTCCCACTTTGTCAGTGGGATGAAACGGCCTTTCCTTTTAGCTCACTATGAATACTGCTTTTTTTGTGTCATAGGAGCTCGATATTAACACATTTTTAAAAGAAATGGCAGCATTATCACAAAGAGGTTCACTTGCAGCGAAGCCTCTGAAGCATGTGCCATGTAGACAACTGACATATGGCAGTGTTTTTATTTTTCATGATTTTTGTGACTCAGGATGATGATAAAAGTATATTCGATCATATACTCCACCTTCCATAAAATATGATTAAAAGCAGTTTATAGCCAGGTATACATCTGTAATTCCAGCACTGTGAGGCTGAGGGAGGAAAATCACAAATATGAGTCCCACCTCAGCAACTCAGGAGACTTAGTGAGACCCTGTCTCAAAATAATAAAGAAGGGAATCTGCCCTTCCTATGAGCCATGTGAAGCCAGGAAGAGAAACCAGAAGCCAATTTACCCTTCTGTGAGCCAGACAGTAAGCACCTCCCAATCCCCTAAGCAACCAACTGATTAAGAGAATCACAGACTGAATTGTTAGCAACTGAGATATAAGAACAACTTAATTCCTGCATTGTTTGATTGACTTTGCAGGCCTAATGCCAGTAGTTTGAGCATCTATTTAGAGGATAACAGGACCCAGATTTTTTTTTTGTCTTTTTTTTTTATCGGTACCAAGGATTGAACTCACAAGCACACACTTGCAAGGCAGGCGCTTATGCTGCTGAGCTAAATCCCCAGCCCCAGGACCCTGATTTTTTAATTTAATTAATTTATTTATTTTGCTTTTTTCCGGTACTGGGGAGCGAAGTCACAACCTTGTGCTTGCCAGGCAGGCACTTATGCTGCTGAACTAAATCCCCAGCCCCTAGAGGATAACAATATACAATATAGCAATTATGGATTTCCTTTGGTTTTATTTTTGAAATCCAACATTGTTCTCACTGTTTTGTTCTGCTTTATTGTTTTGTTTTCTTCAATGTTCTGTTTTGATTGGTTTTACTCTGTTGGGTTTTGATTTTATTATGTCTGATGGTATAGACAACTACTGTGAAGACAATAAGAGATATTATGGTAACCATTGTTGATTTCCTATTATCCTGTTTTGAAGTCCTGTACTACTTTCACTGTTATGTTTTGACTGCTTTATTCTATTTTACTTTGTTTAGTTTTATTCTTTTTAAAATAAAACTTAAAAAAATAATAATAAAGGGCTAGGAACAAGGCATGGTGAGACTGAGGCAGCAGAATCATTGCAACTTCAAGGCCAGCCTGGGCTACAAGTTGAGTTTAAGGCCAGTCTGAACTGCAAAGCAAAGCCCTGTCTCAAAAGGACAAAAAAAGAGGAGGAGAAGGAGGAGAAGAAGAGGAAGAAGAGAAGAATGAGAAGAAGAAGGAAGAGGAGGAGAGGAAGGAAAAGGATAGTAAATCTTATGATCACAAATGAAGAAATACAGAATAAAATAAAGAAGGGCTAGGGGTATAGATCAACACAAGGCCCTGAGTTCAGACTCCAATTGTACAAAAGAGAAAAAGAAAAAAAGAAAGAAAAAGACAATGTATGCATTCATTAGATTTTTTTCACTTTTTTTTTTAGATTTTTCTCTTTCTATACGTTTGTAATACATATATTGATAGCAGTACACACACACTATTTACAAGTAAGTGCATACATATAAGAGAATATGCTTAAGTAGTTCAGATAGGCCACTGTCCTGGAGGTTCCAGTGTGTTTCAGGGCAGCCTTCTCTAGCCTGACACAGACAACAGTTCCTAGAGAGCAAGACTGAGAGGAGGGTGCAGGCAGAGAAGAGAACTGCCAGCAGGCGCAGAGGCGCCTCACAGGCCAGACCCATGCAGCTCCCGCAGGCCGGTCCTTCGAGAGAGTGCTGGCAGAGGCCCACAGCCTGGGAAGGCTGCTGGACCCAAGCAGGGCATCCTGGTGACAATGTCTCCCTAAGCACCCCGAGAGGCAGTGCCTATGAACCTCTTTCCTCAGCCTGGCACTCAACACCAGCTGCATTTTCTAAGGCAGACTCTGGAAGCTCCCTTACCATGGCTTCCACCCGGGGGCCCCTGCCAAGTCAACATTTATGATGGGAAAAACAGCCACAGAGAACAACAGGCATCTTGCAACTAGACACAGACAAGAAT